GTCAGAGACAGAGAGGGCTATCTGCCACTATTGGCCCCGTGCCTACCGGTTCACAGTGATCGGTGCCTGGCCGCCCGACTGTTGTCTGTCCACCGCCAGCTGTCAAAGGGCATGCTCTGGGCCTGCCCAATGATGACAGGCTGCAGCCACGCTCTACAATCAATCCAGCACTCTAATAGGTCACGTATGGGCGCACAATGCTCGCCAGTAGCTTTGAATTGGAGAATGAGTAGACGAGGTACAGTGTAAAGACAGATACAAGAAGGATCTGCACGCAGGCAGAGACAGATATGTCAGCCACATTTTCATCTTCAACAACAGGTTTTTTTGCCAACGACTGCTGGTGAAGAAATTGCAGTAATTGACGCTAATTTGATTCTCTTAGTGACGGCTTGTGAGTCAACTGTAGTGACGGCCAAGTTTGAATGAAATATGATCACACTGAGTTTTTTTTTGCAGCCTTCCCCTCTTGCTCATTAGACTTCCCCACATTTAGACCTAGATGTGATGATGAGCAAATGTGTATACACTTAATGAAATTCCCCAAGTGGGGAGGAAGAACAGAAGGAGAAGCAGATCTATTGGAGGAGTGCAGATTCTGTTTTTACATCAAACAGTTGGTGCTCAGCAAATGTTTCATTTTTGCAAGGCAACTTCTGGGATGTTGGTGCACGTAGAAAAATATATTTGATAGAACGGCTTTCTAATTAAACATATTCACATTGCCTGCCGCACTGTGAAGTCATCTCCTGTAAGAGAACAGGGAAAATACATGTTATCTTCCCAACGCTGTTTGCCTCTGAGACACAGAGGAATAAACATTATATAAATATGTATGTTATATTTACATGCATATGTCTGAAAAAATGTAATTGCCATTCAAAATTAACCAATGAATGAACTAATGTAAGGAATTAAATATTCATGGTAGAATATAAGTGTCGTATACTGTACTGGCTTGCAAGACGTAACGTAATGGGTGTAATTTGTAAGTAATATATTGTTAGTAATACTAAGAATATAATAATGGTGCATCTCAACGTGTTTCCTGATCGACAGTGATCTGCAAGCACCAGGCAGATGACCAGGCTTTGCCTGCCTGAGGGTTATTGCAGATCAGCGCTGATATGGCATTGTGTTGGTAACACACGTGGTGCTGCACTGGTTTGAACATATTTGCTACAGGAAGTGGAATTGTGGAATGGAATAAGATCCAGGAAGTCCAGTTTCTGGAATCCCAGACAAAACGGTTTGTGACACATTATCGCTCGGGAAAGCTGCCATGGTTACAATAGTTTTATTAATTCATCAGGAGCAGTACAATGTTACATTGGGAAGACAAAATCTGAATGGAATTATATGGCAATTACAGTCGCATGTCCAATACATTTATTTATTTTGCATGAATTCCTCTGAATCTCATTCCACCAAAGCAGGTGGTGGAGGCACAGGACATTGTTCATACATGCAAGAGATTACTATCCCCAGGGCACTTTACATCTCTGCAGGGAGAGAACGCAGAGACATGAACTGATACGACAGTAGCACGGCCTGTTTGGGGAAACCTTGAGTCACTGCCACTGTGGAACTGGAGACTCAGGACTGTTGGAGCTTGCCTTTTGACAACACTATGTTGATGACCAGGCTGTAGTGCGACACGGCTCTGCCTCAGCAGAGAATGATAACAGTATGTCATTGTTGTTCGTCATTCTTCGCGGGGGCAAATGGCGGATCTCGGAGACGGTCACGGGGCAGAGCCAAAAGAGCCCAGTTACATTCTGCTTCACTGCTGGCACAGCCGAGCTGGGCAGTGCTGAAAGATGGGCTTTCCATTTCCAAGAAACACACTCCTACACTTTCAGTGGATGCAGCAGGCAGCGGCGCGCTCAGTGCCGAGGCACAACGCGCCGCTGGCGTTGGTCGGCCCTGTCAATCAGTGCAGGGCAACAATGGGAAAAGTACAGTATCGGCGTCAGAGACGATTTTGTCCATGTCTGTCTTTCTGGAATTCATTGTTGTCATGTCTCTTATTTAGTTTATTAAGTCAGCTCCCATCCTTTCTCTCATCTCATCCATCAATAGTCACAAGCCGGCTGGTGAACACTGCCCTAAATGTGACGCCAATAGTTGTGTAATGACTTTGGCTCTAATGGACACGTATGCTTGCAGATAAATACAAATATTCTCCGGTTTCTACTTTGTTCTGCGCATACGTGATCAGGATCTGATGCTTTGATGTGATTTCTCTGCTCTGAGTGACCTCGACCTCAAGAGTGACACCTTCATTTATGGCTCCCGCTCAGGGCGGGCACAGCTCGATCTCAAATCCCCCCGTTGAAATGATGTGAAACATATGATCGCATAATAAATGATGACTACAAATCATTCACTTGTCTCCTGAATAAAATGCGACTGAAGGAATCTTTGAATCGATGTAAGTTTTTTTAACACCCGGATGACGAGAAGCTTCTGATCAGCCGCCACTTGGCGCTCACTTAACCTAAGATGAAAGTCGAGACAAAGCGTAGCAACACAACCAGGGGCTTTTAAGAGGATGAAGTGCACACACTGTGCACTACACCGTCACAGGAAAAGGGGCGTCCTAATGGTGGCGGCCTCCAATCCTCCAATCTGTGGATCTGTTCAGCAACTGACACAACACCCACTGCCCGCTATGGTTGTCCTTGGCAGAGAAGGACGATCCACCCCTGGGGGTGGACGCATTTGAAAACGGGCCGCGGCCATGAAAGCTGCTTTTGCCGCCTTCACGCCGCTCTGCCTGGTCCTTCCCCTGCTGCAGCCCTCAAGGCGTTGTCATTCAAGACAGCTTTTCTGCTTCCACCGACTGCAGCTTTTTCTGCTCCATTGTGGCGGTAGACACCTTCAGACCAGGTCCCTCCTCTGTCCACAATAACATAGTTTTACAGCTTGATGCATTTTGCATCTTTCATCACATGCAAACTGAGGCAAAGTTACTTCTTCCCAGTTTGTGTGTGGGAATGTTATGTTGAACGCACGGCCCAAATCGGTCAAGCCGAACAGCTATTCATGTGCTCCCCGGATGGTGTGCCTGGTAAAGCCCTGTATCCTGTATCCAAGAAGTGCCTGATGAGATGGATTCTGAGTGCATTTCCGAAGCTTGTTGACAATTTGAGCGAACCCCTTCGAACGCAGCGGGGCATCGTTGGCAGTCTTGTTTGATGGCGTTGAGCACTTATGTACGGCGGCGCCCTGGTTGAGGATTCAGTGTGCACACTGGAATGAACTATAGTTTTCTCTTTTTTTATGTTCTTTGTTTTTTTATGGAAAGCTCGGCGGCTTGAATGAAATAAATGGAAAGAAAGAAATTGCTTTTTTGTGAGCTTGACCCACATTAGCTTCTAAAAGTCAAGATATCTCTGCCTCTGGTGAAATTATTTGATTGCTCGCCCCGCTGTGCGGTTGATGGTCGGTTCACAAGTTTGGTTCTCTCTGAAACGTTAAACTAATGACTGTAGGGCAATAAAATTGTTTTGAACTGTTCAACTTCCCTAAAGGATTAAGCCTATACTCACCTGCTGATCCTTTTAATTCTTCCTAGACGGCCATTTTGAAGTTGCGATTTTTTGGAAATATCTCAATTTGATGCCGTGAGCTGCACATATTTGTGTCTCCTTCGGAATGAAATGTGATGACTTTAGTTGTCCCTAACTGTGGTATCACACAGTCAAAACTTTCATTTTTACAATACCTTTAAACAAATGCTATTCCAAACAGCCTGATTTGTATTTTAAATGTAATGATAGCTGATGTGTTATTGTGGCAAACACTTCAATGTGTTTGCTTGGTCACGCAGGGTTGGCATGCTGACCTTTTGCAGACATCACATGAGTGAATACGCTGTATGTTTGACAACATCAACAACATGCTACATGCACGAACACCCACGGTTCCTTCATCAACAACGCTGAGTGAACTCAGTGAACAAAGAGGTAGAAGCTGTTACATTGCTCCTGGACTGTTTGCTCCGGAGATTGGAAACCCACAGAGAAGTTGCTTTTCCAATACCACGGACATTGCCTTGGCCGAAAGTCTGAGAAGGAATTATTTCCGCAAGCTCCAAGCACGCTACCGGGCAGGAGGAGAGCGAGATTAGAAGTCTTCTCCCAGCCAGCAGAAATACAATAGGTTAAACCACCTGCTGGCCTCAGGAGCTTTCCTTCGACTGGTGTTGCGATCTTTCTTTCTTGAGGGTTGCAAGGCTAGAGACGTTCTAAGTGTTATTTTTTCTCCCTTTCTGTCATGTGCCCTTTGTTCTGAACATTTCAAAGAGACCATTAATTGCATCCTCGGCCACACTGTCTGTTGTTCTCATTCATTTTTTTTAACTCATTATTTCCTCTTTCAGTTCTCTTTCATGGCCTTTTGATTCGACTCTCCCTCTAACCTCTCGCTCTGCTCGTCCGCTCTGTTAACTGTGTCTTTCTTTTCATCCTCTATACATGTCTCACAACCGTGAAGGACCATATCTGCGCTCCGCTACCACTCTCCAATGTTTGTCAGTATTAGGGAGTTTGGGCCTTTTTTGATGGAATTAATTGATTAATACCTTTATCCAATTAGTGTTCCCTCATGCAAATAATCAGCTGGCGGATGTGAGGGCCGCTCCATCAGTCGGACGAAGGGCAGACAGATGCTTTGGATCTGGTGTGCGTTGAACATTGACCTTTCCCTTTCGCACCTTCTCTCTCTATTTGTGTCCCGCTCCCTTTCATATTCACCACACACCGCGAACTTCTTCTCGCTGTTCCGGAAAACTGTTTCATTCCAATATCCATGAAAAAAATGTTTTGGGTTAAAAAGAAAGGTGAAAGAAAGTATAAAAGTGGTGTTTGATCATGTATTTTCCTAATGTACTATTCATAAATAGCAACCCGTTTTGGGTTATCAATCCCATATCAATACTGCTTAAAACAATATTTACATCTTGCAAATTAAAACGTACTTTTTCTATTTTACAGGTTTGTCCCACTGTTCCTTTTTAAAGACTGATGGAGTTGTCATGATGCTCAAAGAAATACCAGTGGACCTTTGAAGAATGAATTTTCCGAACCACTGGATTGTTCTGGAGGGAAAAGGCGTCCAAGGTCAAAGAAAAGTCATCAACAGCGAAATCAGTTGGCCTTTTCTCAGATCAAGGATTCTTCTTTGGGAGACAGAATTATTCATGACTTTCCAAGCAGATGAACTTTAGAAAAGCTGTCATCACAAAATAAGTTCAAAATAGTAATATTAAGATAGCTTAGTTTTAGATGGCCTGCTTTGAGACAATGCAATAAAATTGTTATTTTTGTTGCTTTAAAAATTGCCCCTCAGGGTATTATCCTTATGGTCATAATTTAAAAACTGCAGTGAAAGATACTATAATCAAAATGACTGTTCATGCTGCAACAAAAGCAGGTACTCTGCAGGTGGTATGATTCCAAAATGCTCCATGAAGTGCCCTGTATTCAGCAGATAACCTCATATTTATTTGTGATCTTATTGATTTACTTCTAAGATCTTACACAAAGGCCTTTTGTATTTGAAAATACAACTGAAAAGAAAACTCATGCATCTTTTATATTACAGATAAATAACCAGGGTGAGTTTATTTTTTCTTTATTTAGTTTTTCATCAAAATGGCTCTTTCGTGGACAGCGAGGACTTGGACATTGGCAGCATTGGCTTTTCTTGGCTGCAGTAGTTTCGGCTGGTGTGACGCCTCAAGGACTATTGGTTCAACATCGGGAGGAAGTACACAGGACCAAGGAGCCTCATCGTTGGAACGAGTGAAGAGAGGATGGGTGTGGAACCAGTTTTTTGTCGTGGAAGAGTACACAGGGACAGAGCCCCTCTATGTAGGAAAGGTAAGGAAATTAAATTTTCTAATGAATCAATAGCTGTGTTTATTTGTAAAGGGATTTAGATGACCATTTTTTTTTATTTGTAAAAAGAGTACAAGTATGTCTTCCACATCGGATGCTGATTTCATCCAACATTAAAAGCCCAAAAGACAATGCGCTGTTATTCAAAAAAATATTCAAAGAACTTTTTTTTCCATGACATATTATGACCTCCTATATTTTTCCTTTTTTTAAAGTCAAAATATGTAGGGTCACATGTCATGGAAAAAAGTGTCAAAATATTAGGTAACATTCATTTATTTATTCTTTTTGAAAAGAAGAAATATATATGGCATGGAAAAAACGGAAAAATGTATATGTCAGTTCAAAAAAGTCAAAAGACAATAGTTAAAAAAAGGTTTTAAAAAAAAGAATCAAAATATATTAAGTAAAAACATGCAATGGAAAAATACTCCCAAGATATGAGGTTAATTTTTTTCTTTTTTTTAATTAAAAGAATATTAGGTCAAAAATGTTTTGATAATGAAGTCAAAATATGTGGCAAGTTATAGAATGAGTTACCTGTAAACACCTTCAATTGAGGAGAAAGAGATTTGTAAGGTTTTTAAGTATGTACCTCCAGCTGTCACTAGCATAGCTCTGTGACGTGGGTGTTGATGTGGTTTTGAGTTTTGTTTTAATCCCACGTTCTTGTTCTCATTGTTATCTATCCATAGAAATGTCATTGTCCTCTCATTCGCTCTCCTTTGTTGTGCTGTAGAATCTCTGAAAGCTGTTAACGTCCATCGGCTTCCTGTATTACAATCTGAGTACTTCCTCCTGATGCTTCATGTCAAAAGCTTTTTGTGGGACGGTTTCTGCTCCTCAATTTGACTTTAAGATGATTCAAGCTTCAAAGCACATTTTGAGTAGACACAAACTGAATACTATAGCAAATATTAAACATACATTTTGACATCCTTTGGTATCAAGTTCAAATAGTATTTGAAGACATACTGATGCAAAGGAGAGGCAATAATCACTTGTTGTGGACATCCAACCTCCCTCTTGTCATCAAAGGAGCATTATTTAACACTTTGAAGAGTGATGTATCAGCAAACAACCATTTGCGTGATGATATAGTGGAGCAATGTGTAACCGAGCTGAAAATGGAGCCACTATCTCTCTGTGTGTTTGGTTATTTCCAGGTATCACCTTCGTTTGTTGACACAACCAGGTCGCCTGGAAAGACTTTTGGTGCATGTTTGTGCATGTGAGCCTGCTCCAATAATTAGCTCACGACCTCCGCTACGCTCAACGAGCTGCCCTCACAAAGAAAGCAAATGACCCTTTTATAGGCAACCAGCTCTGAGCTTTCATTCAAAAGTAACACTCTGTGAACACGTTGTAAAACTATACATACAGTGATAAACGTGTGCAGTTACAATCACACATGATTCTGCGGCAATAAATGTCCACCCATAGCGTGTTACTGGCATCCTGGACACTTTCCTCTGTGATTCCACAACTTTAGTGTCGTTCTTTTTGTGGAGTGTCCGTGTGTGTAAAACAAAGACGTTGAGATGGATTTTGTATATCAGGTCCAAAGTGTGCAAGTTTGTGACCCGCTTCGCCCTAGTTATGCGGATGAGGAAGGGAAATGCTTCTATGGTTTAGCTTTTATTTGGTATTATTTCATTTGGTTGCTCAAGCTCACAAGCCCGCATTAGAACGTCGCCAGTATTTATTATAGTTTAGAACATAAACCGTCTGCTGCGTTCAAAAGGCGGTGATGAGGAACGGACATCCCGCTGTTGCAGAATCATATGCTTCGAGATTTGAGTTGTTAAATACACAACTATTGAGTCATAATCTAATTGATCTAATTGCTTTTCCCTAAATCGAAGATGACTAACTAACTAATCTCCTGATTGTTCAGGCAGATCATACAGTTCGACAAAAACAATCCCATGTGTATAACTCAATTCAAACTATTTGCATCGATTAGTGAACCCGCCTCAAAATTGTGCTTTATTTTTTTAATCCTTTTCATCCACAAACTGGTCAAACAACAATGTTACTTAGTGTGCAGCGCCTCAACGGCGTTGTTAGCGATGCGGTTGGCAATGTTGTAATTGAATGTGATTATAGCGAATGAGTACAGGTCAAATTCATTTTGCTGTCAGTGCTATTTGTCCATTTGGTTGCATTTTTTCCACTTTTCTTGCCCAAATCCCATTGATGAGCTGCTCTTCAATCCAACTTTATTGAGTTGATGAAAGTGGACAGCGTGTACAGTTCCATTGCCTTACACAGAGCGTAATTTGGAAAGACGTGACATTAATTCAGACAGCATGAGACTCAGCGATGAGTCACACACATCAATCGCGTGAACCCTCTGTTTCTAATCACTTAGACACGACCAGCTAATATTTCATCTGCATACATATTGATGCAATTTTATATTGATCTGTTTTGTCAAATTTTTGGAGTTTTTTTTTTCCCCAGAAGGGTCAGGGTGTTAATGAATACTTTTGGCCATTATTTCTGGTGGCAAACGAACAACACATAGAGCACAGCAGAGGGATACACAGAGAGTAATTAACAGAGGAAGAGGGAAGGTTGCAAAAGGAAGCTGGTAGAGAAGAGACTTCACACACTGACTTGTGATTCATTAGAGGACACGGCGCTGTGAACTGATATAAAAGGTTTGAGGGAAGCTCGAGAGGGCCGAGCGCAGCTTGAGGGAGAGACGCAGCAGGAGGCGCAGGGAGATCATTTTATTGATATCATTATTTAAAGTCATTGGACTCCCTGTGACTCGGGCAGAGGCCAGTAGTAGTAATATTAATGGTTTGTTTGAGTATGGATGTCTGCGTGTAACTCCCCCCGCACCGAAGTATCAACACTTTAGTATGAGCAGTAGAGGATTAAAGCCAGGCAGCGTGCCTGTGCACTGGATAATTACGACAAGCTGTTTTTTTTCTTTATTTTTTAAATGACCTCACCCCAACTCAGCAAACTTTAACGCTCTCTCTCTCTCTCTCTCTCTCTCTCTCCCTCTTTCCCACTTTGGCTGCCGCCACTCTGCTAATTAAATCAGATTCAGCAATAAAATGGTCACTCACATGGCTTCACACTGGCAGCGTCGAGTAGTACGTTTAAATGATACTTGCAGATATAAATGGTGGAACTATGTTTGGAGTGAGTGAATGAAGGCAGAGAGGACGGAGTGGAGTGGGGAACTTACAGAAAGAGCACTTTTGTACGAGTTGCTGTAGAGCCCAGATAATCCTAAAAGGCTGTTAAAGGAAGTAGAGGAGGCACAAATGACATATTCTTCTTCTCCGAGGTCCCGAGACTTTTCTCTATTTGGACAAAAGCTGTCAGACATGAATCCATTTTGGAGGTGTGTGTGTGATACAGGGAAAGCGAGAGATGGACTCTCTATATGAGCAGCTTGTGCGTGTATGCTTTTATATTCCAGCAACACAAAGTAGTATAGCTCAAGGGTTCAGATTCCCAGTCTCTTTTGTAGCCTCCTCTTTAATTTTGATGAATCTATCTGGAGTAGATTTCCTCATCAGGTCTCAGCACGCAACTGATTTCTTGTCGCTTCTTCATTATGGATAAGAGATAATAGTGTTTGGCCAATGGACACAATCGATCAAATGCACACACTGCCTGTTGAAGCCATTCTCACCGTCGTAATGACACAACTATAATTAGTCAAATCTAAGGATCTAAACAATCCGAGGTTTTCATCAAAGAGAAACAAACAAGCCTACGAAGGGATAACTGGGAAGAATTCAATTATTAAATTAAAACTAAATAAAAGCCATCTGAAAATGCGGTGCTGTGGGACACTCACTTAGGGAGCCACATTTCCCATTTTTTAAGATGAAAAAGGCTTTTGTTTACTCGGCTTTGTCATCTCAAATTCTGCCATTATAATTTCCGTAGCTCTTTCATTCCGTATTTGCGTGTTTGCGTTCTCTGTCTTCTGTCTCAGCCTCAGCAGGTCTCCCATCCCATCTCATCCCAGCACCATCGCTCCTCCATTTGAACAATACTTCTCCCTCCGACTTTCTTCTCTTTCCTTCTTCCTGTGCACCATGCTACCGTTTTACTCTCGTCTCTGGCTGCGTCTCCCATCGTCTGAACCCTTCCCTCTGCCGGAGCTGTCTCCACCTAGCTTGTCTCTCATACCGTCACCTTGTTAACACTTTGAAGCTATTAAGATCAGAGAGCTTGACAAGCTGCAGTGAAAAGTGGCAGGCCGACTGCTGATTACACAGACTTAAATATAAGACAGGCAATTTGCTCCCGCTTTGAAACCCTCAATAAACCGAGGCTTCGGTTCAGCCCGGGTTCTGGTATCTCCAGTGGAAATGTGAAAGCCTGCTTCGTAAATGTCTCACTATTCTATTGCGTTCTTTTCTTCCGTCATGTGATTCCGCTTTTTTGAAGTGCATTTACTTTTGCCTTGACAGCTGTAAACATTTTAAACTCAACATGGCTGTCAATAGAACATTTTTAGTTTTTAAAAATGAATGTAATACATCTACTCAAGCAGAGTGTTTGCGTTAAAATACTTTTGCAACTCAACTCAAAAGAGCTGACCACCCAAAAAAAAAGAAGGAACATCTCTGACAGTGCATGTGCGTCACATGTCACCCCCGTTCAGCAGGTTAGCCCACAGTGACAGCAAGACACTTTGATGACCCAAAGGTGAAACTGACGAGGCATCAGCGACCTCCATCTTCCCTGAGTCACCCAGCAACGCGAACCCCCGATGCTTCCCTAACTACTACCTGCAAAAGGTTCACCTTCAAGCCACAACATAGCTGCATATGCTAGTGCTAAAAATGCACATTAACAGTATTTATTTGAAAGTTTTTGATCCCCAGTAATCGGTAAATATATTTTGTCGTATATATTTGTTGACAGATTGGTGCCATTAAGTTAGATAAATTGCTTGCGGTACAGTTTCTCGTTTAGCCAGGGATGTTCAACTGTCACTGGATTAAGTGACAATAACTCACTTTGTGAACACCGGCATTCATCATCTCTTTCCCCTCTTTGCTGTTTCTGGGCCTCTTGTCTCCGGCTCCACACCCCCTCACCCACAATTCTTGTCTCGCAGTTTGAGGTTAGCATGATGACACATGAAGCGAGCAGACCCAAAAGATTATTCTTAACGTCGCACGTACATTTTTCTCCGGAGATAAAGCCTGTTTGGCTGTTGGATCTCTGTACGGATGGGTGTGAATGGGTCTTGATGGGCAAGTGCCAGGATGTACAGCCTGCTATCGGTGAATGAATGCGTGTGAATGAATTGTAATGTAAAAAGCGGAAAAATTCATTCAGTGGCAACCCATTTCATGTTGGCTATAGACATTTTTCAAACTGCAAACTCACAATGCCATGTTGCATGCCACACCTTCCTGCTGCCCATTTCCGTGGTCATCGTGTCAAACACAGCAAGCTGCATGAGTTGTGTCCTCAATGAGTGTTTGATCATCAAGAGGTAGGCTTTGTGTTGAGAAATTTAACATTTATGGCGTGGAAAAGGCGTTTGTTTATGGTCTTCATACCCTTCTCACCACTAATACTAAAAAAATCACACACATCAAGCAAAAACACACACAACTTCACATTACTGTATTTCTGTTTACTATAGTCAAGAAGGGAATATGCACATTAGTTAACATGAGCACTTGAGTCAATCGTCTAAATGTTGCACAATAGGATGCATAATAACGCAGCGGCATAATCACTGCTCCAGGTACTGATTTGGTTACACGGCTGCAAAATCTAGAATGCAAAAAGCTCAGAAATACGTGACCGTGATTCCTGCCAAGCAGCCGCTGACTTCTCATGCGACATCGTTAGAGCCACACTTGCAATCCTGGTTATTTTTTTGCTAACACAGTGACGTCCGGGCGCTGACCTTTAGTTCGCTTGGAACAACTTAGCTAAGCGTGCTGTGCGTGTTTTTCAAGCTGACAACTTGAATCACTCACAGTGAGGACAGACTGACTGACGGACGGACGGGTATATCCAGCCGGAGGGGGGAGGAGGGGGATAGCGTCATCTTAGCAGAATGATGAAGTCTCTATGTTTGTTTCTACATGTGCGTTCTTGTGTGTTTGTCCACATGCTGGCAAGCACACACAAACATAGTAGCTCGTGTGCAAAACATGTACAGTAGTTAGGAACCTTATGGGGCCGGTATTTGTGCAATTGAATTAGCCGATGATGACGACATTTCACACTTGTTCATGTCTGCAGAATCTAATTTAGAAATACAGGGAGCGGGTTAGGGAGACATAACCAGTGGCGCATGACTATGGAAACTTTTATTGGATAACTGGAGTTTGGACCAATGAATTTATTTTATTAGAACTGAAATATTGATAACGCCGAAGTATCCAGCAGTATTTTTTCTCTGACTGTTCGTGCATTTGTCTTCGGGATGATTGAGAATAGGGAGAAAAGGCAAAAACAGAGAGATAAAATGGCAGCGGAAAATAGATGAGGAAGGCAATATCGAGGCGCAGGCTTGCATTATTCTGCAGTTTTACGACAAATACTTAATGAAACCCCGCAAGGGTGATAGAAGCCTGTATTTAATTAAGCCTTTATAAAATATTAACCGTGGAGGCCAGGGTAATTCCCCCTCTCCTGGTCTTCTCAGTAGATTGAACCACAGTTACACTGCATAGACAGCACTGAATTATAATTTCAGATGGAAGGTGAAAGGGAGAGAGAGAGAGAGAGAGAGAGCAGATCTACTGCTTACTAAAGAGCCAAAGGGGAGGTTGAGATGGGGGACCAATGCCGCTCCTATTGCTGCCCCTGGAATGTCTTCTAATCACATTAGGGGGGGAACTATAGCTCTGATTTATAAGGGCTCTTTTAAGTTCACTTCTTAGCCCCGGCACCTCTATGTCTCTACCTTTAACAATCTTTGAAATGACTTTGATCTCCTAATTTGGGCATCACATCCTGTGAAGGGCACAGTGTGCAGAAAAGGTGTAAATCATCTCTAGAACCGTGGTGATGATGGCTGCTCTGTAGGGAGCAATGAGGAGGCCTTTAGCTGCAATTGCTATTGGGAATAAGATCTTGTGTCTAGTGATCAGAAGAAATTCTTCATTCTTTTGGTCACTGCTGATTAGAACACCAGCATTCTACTTGCACCCGCTTCATTCTTTCTCCATGCTGAAACCGCAGATGAATGATTAGTCCAAAATAATGAAAAGTGTCCACTAAAGGTTTTGACAGTCTACGACTATTCTGTTTTGCCTATAATAGTTGGTAAAAAAGGTAACCTGGGAGCATTACCTCCCATTTCTAATTGTTTCTAAGTGTATTCTCTGTTGCAAAGTCAGATTTTAAAACCGTATTTTGCCTCAATTTACAGATCCACACAGATTCTGACGAAGGAGAGGGGAACATCAAGTACACTATCTCTGGAGAAGGTGCGGGCTCTATATTCATCATTGATGAGCAAACGGGGGACATCCACGCTACAGAGAGGCTGGACCGAGAAGAGAAAGCGTTTTACACACTTAGGGCCCGGGCCCGGGACCAGCTTTCCAATGACCCCCTGGAACCAGAGTCGGAGTTTGTCATCAAGGTCCAGGACATCAACGACAGTGAGCCCAAGTTCTTGGAGGGTCCCTACATCGGCAGTGTGGCAGAGCTGTCCCCCATAGGTGAGGCAAGACACACGGTAGCCTGTCAGGGGCCATCGGGGATATTAGACATTTTACAGCCATTGAGCTCAGGATGCCCCAAAGGTGCACATACTGTAAGAAAAGAACAGTTTTACAACTGTTTTCATGATGCATAAGTAAGGCCTTTAACATAACTCTTTGTTTATGTTGGCTCAGGGGAAAAAATGCCAAGAAGAGCCATATGCTAAATTTCTTCCCCATTGTGCACATGGGGGAAAAAAAAAAGCCAAGGAGATGTTACTATAGATGAAAACACATCTGGAGTCAATGAATCCATGGTCGATAAGAAAGTAGTAGAATGGTGTCAAGGACATTTGAGGAGCATCTATATCAGAGCTACGCCCCTTAGGTAGGAAAATATGGAGAAATAACTGAAAAGTCACATGGAGAAAGGAGAGGCAAATTGCATTACTCCCAGATGAGCTTTGTGGCTTTTGTTCTCTGACACACTGTTATGAGGTAAATCACGAACGGGGAATAAGGGCGGGAGGGAGGGGGGGAATAATGGCGAGGGTTTATCTTATTTACATAGAGTCTTCTGACAATGGAACCACAATGCTTTTAATCCTGACAAACATGTTGTTATTGTGAGCAACAGTATTAGCGGCACACCGTGGCTCCTTAAAGTTCTCATGAAAAATGGAAAAGACAGGTGAACGAGGGGGGTCGGGGGCTTCATTAGCATGGTATTAATGTCGCATGCCCCGCTGAAGTCCAATAAACATAATTCTGTTTGGCTACCGAGCGATATCACGAAGCCATGTGTGCGTTGTGTGTGATACAGATTTTGCATGTGCGTGTGTGTGTGTCTGTGTGCGTGCGTGTTGTCACGCGTATGCAGTAGAGGTGGGGTAGCTTCTTGGGTGAGTGACTCCAGGAGTGATGCAGAATAGAATGGCTCTTCCCTGTTCGAGTCTGATTGGAATTAATTCCTGCTTCCTCAGCATGATCCAAACTGTGCACATTTCTGCCTACAGTGCTCTCTAAAACTGAATGGAGTGTGTGTCTGCGTTTGTGTGTGTGTGTGTGTGTGTGTGTGTGGAGGAGGCAGCGGCAGAGTGAATGACCCTGCAACGGAAGGCTACCACAAATAAGTAGAGAGATGAATAGCATAGAAATAACCCCGGAGATTCAGAAAAGGATGCAATCGCTCGGGAAGCAGGAGCGCTGTTATCGTTTCATGAAGGAGGGACACGGAGTCACAGCCATCCCGCGTAGTTAATGTTTGTTAATGTAATCTTAATGATCACGACCCTTACACTTTGGCTGCTCCCCCCCCCTTTTGTTCGACCCTGTTGCACCTCAGTCAGATGACGCACTGAATAAGTGTGCAGTTCATGTTTTAAACATCGCTGTGGAGCGCCGGCACTAATGAGGTAGCGGCTACCGCTTAGTCAGGCAGTCGCCTCCGCCATCGCTGTTTCTTTTTCGTTGCGCTGTTCCGATATTTTATTGGTGCATTTCAGTGCTAAGGTCAGAGGCTCAGTAATGCAAATGAAGGGATTAAAAAGAAAACAAAAAAAGGTACAGGGCCGACCACCTTGACCACCGCCATTTACTCAGCGGCTCTAAAGCTTTTGCTGCACATTGTCCTCTTACCTCCCACACAACTGCAGCTGAAAATAGCTGGAGAACACTTTTATATTCGGAATGATTTTTCTTTAGTTTCAGCAAACTAACAGGTTCTACCTCACTAACAAGTATTAACATTGTGAGCAAGACCCGAGCTTCGCCTTTGCTCGATGAATCCCTCGTTGCCGTAGATGTCTGTCTGTTGTTGTCCTACAGTAATAAACGCCTTAACTCTGAGTGATTGCCCGGTTGCCAAATAATCACACTCAGCCCCAAATGTGTATTAATCCACAGCTAAAACTAATCCCCAACTAATGTAGTGTTTCAAAAGTTGGAGTAAAAATAGCTAAAAACCAGCTTTGTTTGGTAACTTACTTTGCCTACTCTGAAAATCAAACTAGATTTGTGTAACCGGTTTTAAATTTTGATAATTAAAAATGGATTTGTGGCTGATTGCTGTATGCAGAAGGTTAGTTCTTATTCCTTGAGGGACAGACAAATTGCTGTTTTTAGTCTGAACACTAAAATCAGATACCCAAAAAACACCAGCCACTTATTTGCAATTTCATCATTTCGAGCTCAGAAACATCTGAAATTGTTTTAATGTTTGTGTGTTTGTAATTTCTCCCAACCATAGCCAGCTATTCTTCCATTTCTCATCGTATTGCACTCAAACCCTGCTTAGAGTCAGTTTTTCTTTTACGTAATTATTACAAAGCTCCTGAAAACCCGAGACATGGTTGATTTTTACGCCGTGTTAGAAGCAGATTGCGAGCGTCGGCCGCACCAGTGATGTGCAACCACACAGAAAACTGCTTTAGAAAACGTGAGGGCATAATCGTCGGAAAGTAATCAGTGGTCAGCTGCATAAAGCATATTAGCCATCACTCCTGTTGTGTCCCCCATTGCCGGCCTCTGTCGTAGCTTTTAACGCCTCAAACCCTCCCTCTTTGTGCTTTATGTCTGTCTCTCCGTGTGCTAGCTCAGCATCTGCTACAAAAAAAATAATAATTTGTCTGCTTGTTTTTAAGGGTTGGTTAACTCTGAAAAGGAGAAGAGAGGGCAAATAACATACGAGCGGCGAAGATGATGATGAAATGTGAGGGCCGGAGCTCTGTGTTGTCCTTTGAAAAATTTGCGGCTAATGAAATTGCAGTCCTAAATCAAATTTGTGCTGCATGGATGATTGAATATTGCTTGGAGAACTGTGCATGACTTTATGTTAGGAAAAAAGAGGGAACATGGATGGAGTCTCTCTAGTACACTTGCTGTGTCCTCTGACTCATGATGATAAAGACTGTGAAGAATTGATTTAATACAATCCATTGGTAGAGGACATCCTGGACTGAACACAACCAAAAAAGAAAGTGACTAGAAGATGGAGCTTAGGGACTACCCGTAATAATTGAAGCTCTAATAACTATAACCTTCTTTAACTGAACACATAGATCATTTGTTGAACATTTTACACATTATTCACTTTCAGAGAATTTATACCAATTGATGATACAACTGGGGTTTTTTTTGGAAAAGAAAAGAAAAATCCTTTATTTTAAGGTGACAATTAAAAATGTGATAGTATAATAGTATATATTAATTTCAAATATTAATTCCCTCGCTGATATTTTCTTCAAATGTACTGATATATCTGCTAAATCCCGTGCAATAGTCCACCTTCCCATCACAATCTGATCTAATCTAAATGTTAATTCACACACACAACGTCTAATCACAACACTAGTTATGTTTTGTTACTCCTAGTAGTAACTAGTATTGGTTTAGCCGTCTAGGAACTGCCACTATTTGGTTAATCACTAAACATATGCACAGCTTGTAACACGTGTTTCGCGCCCTTGCTTCAAACATTTTTAGCAGCTGGCTCAGAAGGAGCGAGATGAGTCACAAATGTCGGGGCTGTGCCTTTACTCATGCTGTCATGATACTTTTAGTATTGGCTTTTGCCCTGCAAGAGCCGGGCCTATTGGGTCAAGGGTCAATCTGCTGTAGTCCCACTGAGACCCACTAAGACCCACCGTGACACCACGGTCCACGAGCAGGCAACAGAAAACTAGTTTCCAACCTACGCCGTAATGAAGCAGGAAGGCAAAACGTGAATGAATACAGCGCTGTCGATGAAAAGGATTAAGGGCGTTAATTCTGCTAAACGGTGAGGATCGGATTAGAGCATGTGTGTGAAAGCGCTTGATCTGCGGCGCTCCCGGTTCCATTAAGCACGTTCAACGCGGAATGAGTCCGGGAAGATTCAGATACATCTCGCAGACACAAACGGGCGAAATGGCACGGATGTCTGCCGCCGTCATCTCTCTGGGCAAACCACGGATGAGGGTACGGTAAATGCGGAGCGTGCCCCCCCCCCCCGCCCCTCCTCCCCCCACACAATGCCCTGCAGAGGCTGTACTCCCACTGCCCTGCAGGCCTGTGTGATGTCACCACACAATCAGTAAGACAATGTCACTGATTGTGCAATGCAACTCATTGTCAGTATCCCGCCGTGTGAGTGTCCTCTGCAAACAAAAAAAAAACAGCTTCTGCATCCTCTTAATGGTAAATTTTACTACGACGTACTGAGACAAAGCGATCACTAGAGTCGGTGACACATTTCTTCCTCCGCATTACAATAAGCAGGAAGGAACAATCGGATCAGGTAAATGCTTCTTGACAAAATAGATGTATTTGCAGGCGAGACCGACATCGCACACTCACTCCCTTCGTGGGAAGGAGGGGCGCTGTACTGAGAGACGGTATCTTGAGAGAAAGTATTTTTAGGGATATTTGCCATTTTAAAATGCCCTATTGACTCAGAAGGGGACCCCAAAGACCTGGTCAATTCAGCTCCAGTTCTAAAGAGTGTGCGCCATCTTTGTGACATCGGTCAAGGAGATCGCTGAATGGCATCTGCCGTGTCTCACTGCAGTGAGGCGGATGGTCAGCATTCAACCTGCAGTGCTGCACTGCATCGAGGCTGAGGTGAAACAAACCACCTTTGTAGTTCCGCAGGGCACACAATGCACAAACTAATAGCATAAACCCCGAATTACCCAGACAAGGATTACCTAAGAGGGTTCATGCTTGTCAGGCTTGGGGGATCTACTGTATCCAATTGCAAGTTGCAAGCTTTCTAAATGGTCATGAGATTGGAAATCTTCTCCACCTCCACCCAAAGTGCACCGTGACCTTCAACGTGGGTCACAGCCGGAGGCCTGCTGCTGAAAGTACACATGGCTTATCAGTTGTAGGGGATATTTCCTTCGGTGGTAAATGATGAAATGGTGTAAGTGTGATAAAGCCCTCGTAGGTGTGGATAATCACGGATGAAAATCCTTTCCTCAATTCCTAATAAAGGACCCCTCGTGGGCGTTACATACGTACATCGTTAGTTTCTCAAG